TTAGGCGAGAGCCACGTGTTGGAAACGGCCCGTCCTCAATCCATGAAGTTCTCGTAGTTGTTCAAAACAAATGTGGGGTACGCTAAGGCGAGAGTCACACTTTGAAAACCACCCGCCTTCAATCCGTTAAGCTCTTGCAAATGTTTAAGACGAGTGTGCGCGGCGCTCAGACCATAGCCATATTTTGGAAGCGGCCCGCCCTTCATCTGTGAAGCTGTTGCCAGTTTTTACGTTTCAGGGTCATCAATTGTCAGGAAGTCTCCGGCGAAATGCCCGGCCCGCCCTTCCGACCGGCCTCGGGGTGCGACGGGGAGGAGTTACAGTCAACCCGCATAGTAAGGATGGGCAACGTTTCCAAGGGTACCCGTGCATCCTTGCCTCCTCCGTCCATCCTTCGCCACTTTCGTTGGGCGCGCCCCGCTCGAAAAGCTTCGAAATGTGCGTCCAAGGCTCTTGCATCCTTATCGCGCATCCTTATGACACGGGCCAGCTGTATTTATAAGGAGAAGGAAAGGTGGAGGAGTGGCCGCAGCCGTTCTGGCTCAAGCCTGCCTTGGGCGCCAGGCAGGCGCCACACCTTTCATCTCTGTCTCTGTCTCTGTCTTTGTCTCTCTCTCTCTCTCTCTCGCTCCTCCTCCACCTCCTCCTCCTCCACCTCCTCCTCCTTCTCTTCCTCCTCCTCCTCCTCCTCCTTCCCCTCCTCTTCCTCCTTCTCCTTCTCCTCTTCTCCTCCTCCTCCTCCTCCTCTCTTTCTCTCTGTCTCTTTCCTGGGAAGCGGCTCAGTTCCTTAGCGCAGTCCAGACAATGGCGTTGCGGCCGTGGCATGGTCAAGTCGATTCTATAGGCTTGCGCCACATCCGCCGACCCCTTGTTATGTTTTGTTTGTCGAGATACCACTTCTCAGATCTTCTCTGGAAACCGCGGTCCTTGGGCCTTCTTGCATCCCGCTTGGGGGCCTTTGAGTTGTCTTGGATGCGATGGGAGGACAGGAGGCACATGTATATAATATGCCGTGGTATTGGCAGCCCAGGCCCCGGGTCGGCACACTCTCCGAGATCATCCTTCTTTGGCTTACGACTTCTTCCCGGGCCGTTCGGGCTCCTAGGCGGGTTCCCGAGGGCTACGCCAGGGGAAACAGGAAGAGGAGGGAATGATAAAAAAGGGAGGGAGTTGGTCGATGTTTCTGTTTGGTGGCCACGGCAAGGGAATGATTATAGAGGCGGTGGATCGGACTGCCTGAGGTGGCATTGCCGCTACTGCTGGACTCCGTGAGAGTGTCTCGTGGCCTTGGGCCCATCTGGCCGCTGTGCCTGGGTTGTGGGTATGAAGCCTCGGGGCTAACCGTTGGGATTTCGTGGGGAAGCTTCTCGCCTCTTCGGGCTTCCTGGGAGTTTCTTCGGGCAGAACATCTACATTTTCGGTTCGAGGTTCCTCTCTTGGGCCTTGTGTGGGGCATGCTGTGGGCACTTTTGGGTGCCTCTTGGATGTTCTTCAACGCCGCGCATGCCGAAAGATCGTATATGCTAGAAATGTATGTTTCCCAAATGCAATTTGGCGATTTGGGCTTCTTCTGGGCTTCCTGGGAGGCCTCTTGGAGGCCTCTTGGGGTGTCTTCGTGGCTTCTTGGGCATCTTGGATCGATCATTCGGCGAGTCTGAGCTCTCTTGGACTGTCTTGGGGGGTGTCTTGGGGGGCTTGACGGGGTGTCTTGGAGCTCCAGACCGAGCCTGCGGAGCCCGGACCGCCCCTGATGAGTTCGGGGGTGGGCCGTCCGCGGCCCGGGGGGGGGGGGGAAGGTCGAATTGCCGGTTTGGGGTTCCCAGGGGGGGGGGTATCGGGGGGAAGAATCTCACGGGGCACAAGGGGTCGGCGGATTTCTGCACGAAGCCTTACATCACCAAGGAGACGGTGTACAACCCTTGGTCCAAGAATTTGCGATACGCCCGGAAAGCCAAGAGGATGGCAGCGGAGAGGCTGGTCATAGGGGACTACAGCAGGAAGGCGGAGCTACAGCAGGAAGCGAGCTACAGCTCGAAAGAGAGCTACCACCACAAGGAGAGCTACTCCACCCTGCCGAAAGCACCAGTCACAAGGAGGGCTGTTGCTTGAAGAGGAACTGCAGTCTGAAAGAGAGCCACGGCTGGAACGACGGTTACAGCCTTCGCAAGAGCTGCAACCTCAAGGCGGCCACGCACTGAGGCACAGCTACAGCCTGGCAGGCGAGCGACAGCTTGAGAGAAAAACTGTCGCCGAGTGGGGAGATGCAGCCTGCAGGAGAGCTGCATCCGGAAGGACAGCCAACACTTGCAGGAAAGGCCAGCGACTGCGACGGCGAGGCCGGCTGAAAAGGGCGAGGCCGGCGCCCGAGGCAGGGTTGGCGACTGGCCGCCGCGAGCGCGCAGAGGCGCTCCGAGAGGGCGGCCGTGCGCGGCTCGCAGGGCGCCGCGCGAAGCCGACCTTCAACGGCCAGGAGTGGGCCCTCGGCCCTCGAGATGCGCATGCCGACCGTCGGGTGTTCCGCCAAGGCTCCACCAGTAGCCGCGTCTCAGAGCGGACGCCGCCGAACTCATTGGCAGGTGGCCCACGGGACGGCTCGGCGTGGAGTGCCGAGACGAGGCCCGCGCCCTCCAGTGCGGCAACATGCTGCTCAACTATTGCGTGCTCGAGAAGGTGTGCGACTTGGCAGCCGCCGAGGGGTAGGCGTAGCCGCCTGTTTCGAGCTGATCTCCAGCGACAAGGCGTACACGCGGTGCGCGCGGGTGGCGAGATAGCTCTGCTAGAGCGGGGCCGCCTTCCCCGACGCCGTCGGTGACCAACGGACAGGCTGGCCTGGCTGCCTGTGACCGGCAAGCTTTCAGAAGGCGGAACTGGCCAGTCTGAGGCCGAGAGACCAGAAGACGAATAATTCCTACAGTGTGCCTGAGGACAACTGATGGTGCCTCCTTCAACACGGCGGCTAACCTTCCATTCCTTTCGCGACAGAGTCTTCCCTTTTTCCATCCTCCATGCTCCCTTCCCTCGGCGATGGCCGAGCTCTGGCGCCCCAGCGCGGGTTCCGTGTCTACGCGGTGCTCCGGCACTCCGGCTTGGGTTTCGTGTCTACGTGGTGCGCCAGCCGCGCCGCCGTGGTCGGGCGGCGCTTCGCGGGATCAGGGGGCGCGTCGAAATTGTGTGCACAGCACGAGGAGGAGCCAACGGCGTCATTTCCGTTTGCCCATCAGAAGGTATCATTTCCAGCAGCCTCTCGTTTATAACCTGAAGAATGTGCAATGGGAGGGTCAGGAGGGGCGAGGACGTGACAGCGGCGTTGTCTCCAGCTCCTTTCCGAACCTATGCGTGTACACCAATATACATACATGCGAGACTCGAGGGCTCGTTTCGCTTTGACTCGAATCTTGATCCTGCGTCCAGGCGCCGTTGGGGGACTGCCGAGGGACTCGTCGGAGCGGAAAAGGTAATGACCAGGAGGCGGCTGCGTGTCATGAGCCAGATGCAGCCTATAGGCATGTTCGCGCTATGGGGGAAGGGCGTGGTTGCGACGGGGGCGAAGGTGAGGACCTCGACTCTAGAGTCAGCTGTGACCCCAAGAGAGGTCACGGTTATTACGAGGGAGTGTACGCAATGACCGCCAGCGGGGCAGAGGTCATGGCAAAACGGGGCCTGGGCAGTGGCTTCGAAACCGATGAGTGGGACGAGAATCCGATGAGGTTACTGCTTGGGGGTTGAAGGTCATGATCCGAGAGATGGTTCCAGTCGTGACTTTGATGGAGGTGGCATGGTCGCGGCATGGGGCTCCAATCGTGACTGGGAAGCGGCTGTTGGCAATATGGGGAAGTGATGGGTCTCGTTGGGTCTCATGAGGGGGGAGGGTGGTGATCGTGAGGGGGGTAGTAGTCATGATATTGAGGGGTTAGAGGTGCACTTGCGTTGTGAGTGGGGCGAACGTGATGACCGCGAGGGGGGGTTAAGATCGTGTCTGCTGGATATTTGCGGAATTTCCCACGCCCCCGACGGTCCGCGTCTGTCGACTGGCTGGCCTCCAGACCTGCGTTTCTTTCCCGAGTGAGCCTTGAAATCCCGTTTTCGACTTTCCGGGGTGGGCTTGTCATGCCGATTCGTTGTTCGACGGCCCTGAAATTGTAAGCGGCCCTCGCACGCCGACAGTTTGGAAGGGCTGCGAGGAGGAGGGCGACAAGGAAGGGAGGAGGACGAGGAGGAAGGTAGGAGGATAAGGCTACGGCAGGAAAGGGAGGGGCATAGGGATGAGAGGTCGTAAGCAAGTTGGGGGAAGGGGAAGGGGTCCCCGGGCCTCCAGAGCCCGAGGACGGCCCCCACATGGCCACAATATATGGCCATAACACGGCCCCACCCCCCCAAGAAGGCCCCAGACAAAAAACCCAAAAGGGCCGCGAGTTTCTTAGGTTTTGGATGGATTTTGAGGTTCTCCCCATTTCGAACTTCTTGCGGCTGACGGCGAACCCAGGGCTATCCTAGATCGCCCCCAGACGGCTACAGCAGCCTCCAGCTAGGCCCCAAAAGTGCCCAAGAAAGCCCCAGACGCCCAACAGTGGCCCAAGACGGCTTCCAAGAAACCCCGCAAAAACTTAATGGACCTCCCGAGACGGCCCTGAGGGACCGCAAGACGGTCCAAGATGGCCCTGGGACGATGCACGCGGCCCGCAAAACGCCCCATCGGCCCCGATAATTCCCCAATGCTGCCCATCATGTGCCTTCAGAGGCCTCCAAAAAAACTTTGGGGCGGCTCCGAAATGGCCATAAGATGGCGACAGTACGACCCGTGAGGCTCCCTAGAGAACCCCATACCACCCTTCAATGGAGGCCGCCCGAATGACAACCTCAGAAGCTCCGTGTGTGTGTGTGTGTGTGTGTGTGTGTGTGTGTGTGTGTGTGTGGGATGGTCTTGGAGGTTCTCCCCATTTCGAGCTTCCTGTGGCCCACGACGAACCCAGGGGTGTCCTAGATCGCTCCCAGACGGCTCCAGCAGCCCCCGGTTCGGCCCGCAAAACTTGCCAAAATGGCACCCAGCAGCCCCAAAGTGCCCCAAGACGGCGTCCAGGAAACACGAAAGTTTAGAGGGGGCGCCCAAGAACGCCCAAGGAACAATACGGCGGCTTAGGATGGCCGTAGGACGATGCACGCGGTGTCTAAGATGCCCCCGAAGTCTCCGACAGTCCTTCGATACTGCCCAACATGTGCCCTCAGAGGCCTCCAAGGAGCCCCAGGGGGGCTCCCAAGGCCATCAGAAATCTCCCGAGCCGCCTCTAACAAGGCAGTGCGTCTTCTTGCTGCTGCTGCTGGTCGTCCTCCTCCTGTTCCTCCCCCTTTTTGTCCGACCTCACTGCGTTACAGTCTCATCTTCGAGACGGCCCCCAAAACGCCCACGAGGGCCCCAAGACGGCGCCCAGGGACCCCAACGAAAGCCCCCGGTGAGGGTTCAAGTCGGCCCCAGGGAAAATAATGGTCCCAAATGGCCCCAGGACGAGGGGTCCTGGGATTTTCGCGCGCGTGTGTGTGTGTGTGTGTGTGTGTGTGTGTGTGTGTGTGTGTGTGTGTGTGTGTTTGTGTCTGTGTCTGTGTGTGTGTGTGTGTGTGTGTGTCTGTGTGTGTGTGTGTGTGTGTGTCTGTGTGTGGTTCATCTGTTTGTACACACCTCATGCACATATGTACCATCTACCCGAAACTTCTTTGTGGGGGAGCGAGACTTTCAGCGGCAGCCTCAATCGTGCAGTGCTTTTTGTACGGGTCATCGAAAATTCAGCATGCAGGTCGTACAGGTGCTGATGCAGGGTTGGGGGTTCGCAGAGCCATCGTCGAGCTTCTGGTTTCTCGCCGCGTTCCTCGGAGGGACGCCAACAATACACCACCACCAGCCCTGGCCAGGTCCATCCTGGGCCCTGGACTGCTGTATGGACCTCCGGGCCTAGGCTGGGAGGGCCTGTGCACCAGTCCAGGGCCCGGGACGGGCCCGGCCAGGGCTGGTGGGGGCGTATTGCCTGAAGCTCTCTCCTGGCTCCTGCCGTGCGCGAGGTCGCTGCTGCTCACCTCCAGCAAGAGGGCGACACGTGCCGTGCAGCATCCCTTTCCCGTGCCGCGTGCGCTCGGCTCCCCGCGCGCGTAGCCGGGCCCTCTCGGGGGCCGCGGGCCGCCCTGCGCCCGCAGCGCCGCCCGCGGAGGAGCAGCGCGAGGCCACCGACGTGCGCCGGGGCGAGAACGGCGACTACGAGGGCCAGAAGACGGAGGCCGAGCAGTGCATCGGTGCCCTGGAGGCCCGCCCGCCCCCCAGCCGGCCCTCGTCGTCGTCGTCGTGGTCTTCCCGCGCCCGAGGCGCCGACTGCCCGTGGCTCCGCGCGTCGCCCGCTGCCCGTTCTCGTCCTCTGCTCGCCCGCCTCGCTCTCGCCTTGCTCTCGCGCTCTCGCGCGGCGCTTGCTGGCGGCCGCCTGCCCTCTCGCCCGCTTCGCCCGCTCCCAGTGCCGATCCCTCCGCGGCTGCTGTTCCTGCGCCTTCCCCCCCCTCTTTTCCCCCGCGCCCCCCAACTCTGTCTCCTCCTTTCTCTTTCTTCGCCTCTCTTTCCTTCTTCCCTAATTTTCCTCCTCGTCCTCCTGAAACCGATCTCAACCGATCCGAACCGACATCACGGCCATCAAGACAAATGTGATCTCGCGAGGGGCTCCTGACACCACAGTGAAGCCTCTCACATAATCCACCGACGACCTTACCAAGCGTCTATCGGCTGCCGCAAACGCATGGACCAAACAAGAACTGTCTAGGCGCGCCAGTGCCAACCAACATGTACTGCAACGGAGATTGCAGAAATGAATTATGCATGGAGTTGGCGAAGATTGACGAATGACATGTTGTGATTGACCAGCTTCGAAACGCCAACATCAGCAACATGGACAGCAGCTTTGTGCTACAACCGACCGTTCACCGTTGGTACGGGCTGCACGGAACTATTGTTTGCGTCACCTACCTGCTGAAGAACGCTCTTGGCCCGGCATGCCCCATCCGTGCTGATGGCACTGAACAGCCTGCACGCTCAGTGGGCGGGAAATGGGCCCGGTGCGTGGAGATCGACGAGGGCGAGGTCACCCGTGAGTGGCCTGCGGGAGCATGGGCAGCATGGAATGGCTCGCTGAACGACGAGAAGTTGGTGGAGTTGGTGACGACATGCGACGGGAATCTCCAGCGTGCGTCGGATAATCTGCAAGGCAGCGCAGAAGGACGGTCCGAAGGATCCGCTTAGGACACACGGTGGGCACTTGCAATCACAGGCAGTGCCCAAGCCGTACCGATGAACGCTATAGATTCTGCGTTTCGGAGCGTGGAGATTATGGGCAAAACTACCGACATCACCACGACTACGGAATTTGCGCATGTAGTTCAATATTCAAATTTTGCCATCCGACCCAAGTTTTCACCTCAAGCTACACGCATCGACTCTTTCACGCCCAGCTCCTTACCTCCACCTTCTGACCTCCG